TGTATATACACTGTGATTTATAACAATATTATTTAATATCATATATAATAATAAGCAATAACTAGATCTGTAAGAAACATATGGATAACTTACTCTTGAGGAATTTTACTTTCTTTGTTGTATCTTCACTGAGGAATGGTTTGACTAAGTTGAACCCTACGGACATCATGCTAGGAGCTGTGCAATGTAAATATGTTCATCATTAATAATGGATTATTACAGTAATTATGATCATTAATAGCATACACTCAATTAATTGTTAAAAAAAGTAATACTTTGATATTACGTAAACTATAAATAAGAGGACTTTGATCATGTTGCTTGCTGATAACAGTTTTGATATCGAAACAAGTGTTAAGTACAAACTGGTACTATTTGTCTATAAGGTCATGAATGATAGTGGACCTTCATATTGAATCTGACAGTGTCCAATTGTTTGTACCATCTAGTGACAGAGATAGATGGGCTAGCGGGGGACCAGGGCAGCCCCTCCTGTTGGTAAGAGCTGGCCCCTGGACCACTTTCGAAACATTTTCAGTGACACCTGACCACGCCAACTTTGCTCTCGTCGAGGAAATCGCCCCCACCTCCAAGGTCTGGGACACTAGACCACCCGTAGGCCAAATTCTGACGCCACCCTTGGCTTTTGATCTTTCAAAAGCGTTTTGGGATCAGTGGGATAGACCCATTTTTATTTTTATTTTTTTTGGATGTGACGGTCACTTTGAATAGATAGAATCGTGATTTGTTGGATATTTTATACACATATTCATTTATAGTTTACCATTCAGAACAAAACATGTTTTAAGTATCTCTGGGTAGTTGGGCTCAAACATTGTGAATGCTGCATTGTAACAGTCCACTAATGGCTTCCATACATGCTGGTACTCAATCTTATCAAGATCAATAATAATGATGACATCATCAACAATTTTACCAAGCTGAAATATAAGGGCAAAATATATGTATTAGGCCTATCTAATATAAACTGAATATTATTTAGGTGCTTACTCTTTATAACCCTCATTTACATGTATAATAGGCATGGAGTAAAATACATGAATACGTATATGAATATATATCGTACTAATTAAATATGATTATGGTACCATTGTGAATAATGGAGTTGCACAGTACTGAACAATGATGTCAATATAACTGTATGGGTGGGCTTGCGTTATCACGAATTATTACGGGATCGCATAATAATTATGTAAATAAATATTTATGTAATTGAAGTGTAGGTGTATGTGGGTACACACATGTGTTAATAACAATACGTTCCCGAGAGATTGCAACGAGTTATATCGTAGGCCTACTAGACTAAAGAAATTGCATGAACGTTTAATAAACTATATTGCTGGCAACATATCACAATCCATTTAGAATTTATTAAAGGATTGAAGTTTTCGATTAACACCTTGAGTAAAAGTTTGTTTACCAATGAACAACCTTTTTTTTTTTTTTACAAATACACATTTTTAGTAATGTTATTGGCAACTTCACTAACTTTCCAGCCTCTTACGTTGTGAAGTGTTTGCCTTTGTCATTAAAGAATTTTTATAACAAATATTTTGTTTTACCTTTTCTGACTGCTCTCGAAAGTCTTTCAATATTTCTTCACACATTTTTGTCCTGTATTTGACAAAATCCGACTTACTGCAGGAGCGAACTATACCCTTTGGATCTATCCTTCCGAACGGCTCTATCCATATAATTCCACCACCTTTGTGATGTCCACATATTCCTCCCGTCATATATTTTGTTATAACCTGACAAATAATATTTATTGAGATTCTTTCTTAAAACAAACTAAGAATATTGAATTTTAAAACCATTATCAATGGGTTGTAATGGAACATTCCGCTAGGCCCCGTCCATTGGATATACCTGTTGCTGAATGTACCACGAAATGACAGCGTAAAAGTTAATAAATACGTGTGTTTGTGGGACATGCGCGTATTCCTAGACTTGTTCTGATTGGTCAGTTGTTAAGATTGATTGACACTTTGGAAAGGTCTATTAGCTTATTATATATCACGTCCAATATTACAATGAAAGATTATCAATGTTGCCTAAATTTGAGTTGGGTATTTAATGTGTAACCGCGTAGTAAAACTTCGTTTCAACTCGGATCATTCCCAACAAAGACTTGGCTGTGTGATCGGAAACTAATCGTTCACATTTAAGTGTAATTTGATTAATGGCATTTTAATAACAACATGTAAATGAATCAATACAGATAATTTTCAAGCTATCTACTATGGATGGAGAATGATTCTAATTTGTAATAACATTGTTGTTGGTATCTTTCTCAAAAATCGTATTTTTATGTGCTTACAAAATAGGTTGTAGCTGTCGTTTTTATGCAGTTTTTACACAATATAGTTATAGTGTTATCATTTCAGAAAAGCATAAAAGTATACAGTATTCAAATTAATCTGGAAAGTACACAACAAAGGATATAACAATCCAGATGAGTATGAGGCCCACGTAAATGTTCTTTTATTTACGAAAATCTCTTCGATCTTCTTAAACCTGGAAAGCATTGGTGAAGGAATTTTAAATTCTTTGACCATTGCTCTCCAGGAAATTTTTCGTTTCCTATTTTTCTAGATCGTACTTACCTCTGGTGGGGTCCATTCAAGAATTTTATCAATATTCATGCGTTTCCTGAACGTTAGATGCTGCAGAAAATGGAAAATAAAAAGTAGGGTATAACATTTTAGATTATTTTGTATATTATTTTCTGAAACAACATTGCTTTTGGAGAGATTTTAGGCCTACACATCGAAAAGTTGCCAGGAGGTGTCATTTCACATGCAACATTTATCTGGATTCATAGCACCGAACAGTTACATGGGAAACGAAAACTTAAGATGAGATTAAAGGAGCTTTCACGTCGAATTTTCAGATCGGAAAGCTTACCGAACCGATCAGAAAATCCGATCAGTGTGCAGGGACTCTGGCTTTCAGCGTATCGGAAACGCTGTCCGAAAATCGGTTCGGATCCCATGTAAATGTACCTTAAACGGCTAAAATTAAATATTATGATTACTCACATCTCTTAACATTTTCTCAGATTTTGACAGATCGAACTTGCGAGCTGTTGAAGATAATGTGATTGTCATATTTTATTCTTACTTATTTAACTGATTTATGCTAATAAGTATGATGATTATGGTGTTGTGACAGATAGATTTATTAATTGTTCGATCAGTTGATTGATCGATCATTTTATTAGTTGATTGATTGACTGGTCGATTGATTGATTGATTGATTGATCGATTGAATTGCTGATTGATCGTTTGATTAATTTATCGATTGATCAGTTATTTTATTGGTTAATTGATCGATTGGGGTTGATTGGTTGATTGATCGAGTGCTTAATAGGCCAAATATTTATTGATCGAGTTATTGATTAATTGATTTATTAATTCATTCATTTATTTCAATAATTATCAGAATCAGATACATGTTTAATTTATTGTCATTATCAAGAGAATAGAATTTAACACAGCGCAGTAAATATAATGATCGATATGGGTGGAATTAATGAGTCCAATGGTGTTAAGGTGATTATGTTGATGATTCACTATAACAAATACGCCTATAATACGAAAACAAACTTGTACTTAACCTCTTAGCCATCGTAAAAGATAATGGTCATCGTGGTCAGCTGAAAGAACGTCCGAAAGGTTTTGACGAAACTATATAAAACAAAAAAATGTGGATAGGGACATTAATAATCACCGTGCTACCATTCATGTTAAATTTGTTCCAAGCTAACGAAACGAATATTATAGAAATTACTGATTAAAAAAAAATGCGTACCAGTATAAATATCAGGCCTGCAGCCTGTCTCTTATACACATCTAGATGTGTATAAGAGACAGGTAATACTTTGATATTACGGATCTGGAGGGCTGTTACGCTATGCATCCGTTGCCAGTAGTTTTTGGTTTATCGATAAAAGGAAATAATACAGTATGAAGTTAGTAACTCCATGCTAGGCCCTAAATTTAGGCCTAGTCCCTTTCTTATTTCAATCTAGATTAAAGGAACAATCACAGCTTTATTTTCCAAAAAGTAAATATTTAGCCTAAATTCAAGGATTAGCTCCTCCCTTTCCCGAACAAAACAAAATACACACACATCAACAGAGTATTCATTATGTATTTGAACGATGGAGAATTTCGGCTCGAGAAGAGAAGTTGATTCTCTCTTCATTGTAGGCCTATCGTATGTCAAACCAGTTCGCTATGAAAAAACATAGCATCACGATTCATGACACATTTGCAGATGTGTATAAGAGACAGATAAATATCAGGCCTGCAGCCAAGCAGTTTTTTTTTTTTTGGGGGGGGGAGGGTTCTGGCAAAACCTCACACCGTTTTTGCAAATTTGTATACACCTCCAGTGGCGTATCTAGGGGTGCACTGGAGGTGCATGCCTTTCCAAAAAAGCTTTCCCTAGTCTCCCCCCCCCCAGCAAACAAAATACGCTAAAGTAGTTAAATTAACACCGTATACCACCTTATTATTTTGCCAGATAGCTCCCCTCAATTTATCATCGAGCCCTCACACCTCATCTTCACCCCACCCTCTTCCCCCCAACATTTCAATACCCCTATATCTATATACGCCACTGTAGGCCATACACCTCTTCCATCAAATAATATTTTCATTTGTATGATAATCATAAAAACAATATGTTTATTTTAAACTGCAGGATGTATCATATTTAGTCTACGTTTTGTGTAAACACTCAAGTTCCGGGGCCCAGTACTTTTATTGCAGGGAGGTCTGAGTCTGATAGGTCCGAGAGGTACATTATGGATTCAGTACCGGTAGTCGTTTTTGGACTCTGGCTCTTTGTGACCGTCGTACCGGGTCATCCCTTCTCTTTTAACATTAAGTAAAAAGTCAAACAAAAGATTTATTCCCTCTGATAGAAGCCCAAACTAAGACGAAAGTTTAATGCCATTAGGTCAATCTATATTTTACCCGCCGTTCAAACGTATTTTGTCCACACCTTTTCTTTGTTTTATCATTGATAGATCTCTTGTCACAAGTAGGCCTAAGTGTTTGAAGTGGTTGAACTTACCAGGCAAAGTACCGTATGACAGGTCTATATACTGCAGCTGACAAATCACACATACACACACAAAAAAATCATTTATTTAATCGTCTATTATAAAACACACGTAATACTTAAATGGTAATTGTGTGGCGTCTGAATTTGAATACTGTACGTTCATGATGAATGCAATGTTCAAACGTATTCAGAATCATTGTGCAATTATGCACACTGCACTGATATCTGCCTAGCAGATAGTTTTATTTTTATTTCCTTATTTAGTATCCATTCCTTTTGAAACAGTTAAAATACCAATATAAAAAATACAAAAATATTGTGTTAATAATCGGTGCAAAAAAAAAAACTTATTTGCCAATATAAACAAAGAATGAATACAAGGACGATACTAAAAATGGATAAAAGTTAATTTATTGAATTGGAATGATACTAAGAGACTGAAAAGCGGAGATTAAAGAGAGTCAGATCAGGTAAAAATGGAAGAAAATACAAATACAGGAAATATTATAAAAGGAAAAAAAAACAAACAAGAGAATTATAATAAACATCAGACGAACGCAAGCGCACACACAGTGTCAAATTTTGTTAACTTTAAACATAAATATTGACATTAATACCTTTTAAGCCTCAAATGAAATAAATATTTATCGAAATGCTGGCTTATGCGGTCATTAACTTCGCAAAATTCGCAATGCCTTCTGCAAATATTGCATTTTTTCATTCATCAAACTAGGCCTATTGGTAAAAATAACCCTAGCCTATGATGCACCGCATTTTGAAATATCACAATATCGGTTTTTGCATATTTTATAGAACTCGGATGATAGGTTCCTCCTTTTCACAAACTCGATCTCGTTTACGACGCAAACTTCTAGCGCATGCCTATGAAACTAATAATTTTGGGCACGGCGGCTCAGGAAATTGGCACGTCGGTTTACGAAAGGTCCCAAATGCTTCGGCACCGTTATTATACAAGAAATAAGAAAAAGAGAAGCGCTGAGAAGAAATGTAAGAATTGTTTGATGTCACAAAACGCCAGTTCTTTAGAAAAAATGAAGCACTAAAAGCCACATGAAATTATTTTCAAAAACTACCGGTAAATCATTTTTTTCACAATTCAGAAATACATTATCTCAGTTTATTTTCAATAAAAAAAATATCGTGTGATGTATGGCAATCTACTGTAATAAAGCTTTTATTTATTACATTAGATTGTTATACATGACACGATTTGCGTTAATTTACTATTGAACGTGTCCAAGAATTTCATATCCATTCCATATTCTCATAAATCTCGCTGTAGATAATAAAAAGAAAGAACAGAAACCATGTTGGTCTTTATATAAAAGGTATACATACAAGTAAAACATTGTTCCTTTGTGGCGATCACTTCTTATATCACAAGGACTCATTAACATGATAAAACAACGACAAACACATGGCAATTTTTTCAAGAGGATTCGAGATACCATAATGTTTCAAGTCCATTGATATCAATAATTATATTAAATTACCGCTGGTATTTTATTTTATGTGTGTTATTGCTTTGGTCCACCATTTCCTCGTAGAATTTCATGAGTATCCTCCTCATAACCAACAGACAATAATGATCGATCTGGAGGGCTGTTACGCTATGCATCCGTTGCCAGTAGTTTTTGGTTTATCGATAAAAGGAAATAATACAGTATGAAGTTAGTAACTCCATGCTAGGCCCTAAATTTAGGCCTAGTCCCTTTCTTATTTCAATCTAGATTAAAGGAACAATCACAGCTTTATTTTCCAAAAAGTAAATATTAGCCTAAATTCAAGGATTAGCTCCTCCCTTTCCCGAACAAAACAAAATACACACATCAACAGAGTATTCATTATGTATGTGAACGATGGAGAATTTCGGCTCGATTCTCTCTTCACTGTAGGCCGGCCTATCGTATGTCAAACCAGTTCGCTATGAAAAAACATAGCATCACGATTCATGACACATTTGCTTTGCCCAACAATATCACACATTTTTAAAAGCGTAATTGCGCAAAAAGAGCCTGCAGGGTAAACTATTGAATCACTCTCGAGGGTTTCATGCATTTGGTTACTGCAGTCTCGGTCAATATATGGATCATGAATATTCATGATGTTACCTATATTATCTAAAGTCTAGGTTTATCAGAGATTCATGTGTTTGTTATAAGACAAATCGTGAAACACAGGTCTATAGAAACTTGGATTAGGAAAAGTTATCTTAAAACAAAATGACACATAAGAATTTAATATTGATACAAATGTAAAAAGAAATAATAAGTAATAAAATGTTAAAAAGACAAAGTATTGAATTACTTGTGTTCGCTTACTATACAACGTATTGCTGTGTTTTAACACGAATAATTATGAACTAGAACATTTGCTGACATATCCACTGTTTAACGTGTGATTGTCCCTTTAATCCAAATTATTTGAATAAGGAACTAGTAAACACACCACGGCTCTTGTCGGTCCGAGCAGTGCCAAAGTTACATAAACAGCAATTTTACAATTATAGGCCTTTACCATCTATAAAAGTAGTCATCATTTTTATCATTAAATTTTGATATTGACAAAAATAATTTCCGGTATCATACGATTATAACCTTACCTCATTTAGTATTTTCTGTTGCTTAACGGTAAGGTCTCCTATTCGGCCACTCATTGTTGCTTTTTTGAAAGTAGAACACTGCATCCGTGTCCAAATTTGATGATGTCACATGTGTAGGCCTATACCATTACGAGTCGATGACGACAAAGAACAATTAATGATTACGCCCTCAGCCAGCGGGATAAGTTACAAGCTAATGGTACCTTCTAATTTATCTTTTTTTTTTTCAGTGTGTTGTTAGTTGCATTCGGTGAAAACGAAACACTTCTAGCATTCAATAAATGAAACAGTGTTTCGGGCAGAGAGCATTTTGAAAAGATATCAGGCTAAAACACGTCATTCCATTTAATAGGTTAGCATAAACCAAGTAATCGTTTCATCACAATCAACCCTCTTGCGAGAATTTGGATTAATTGATGTATATTTTAAATTTTGAATAAAACGTGTACCTCATTTCATTACGTCATAAACTGTGTTACCGTAATGTTTATGGTAATCTTGAATTACATTGCAACTTAACGTTAAGTTTCTTTTGTCTAGATGACATGGTGACCTGAATGACTCCTGCTAAATATTAAAGGATGATTTTCGTTTACATCTTTCGAAAATACATTTTAATCAAGCGAAGCTGATAATTAATTTTGTCCGTTTCTTCGGGCTATTTTTGGTGCGGTGATTGAACGGTTTTCGATAATATTTCTGACAGACGCTGTCCCGACATCGGTTGGTAAAACATTATTTTAAACACACGTTTCTAATTTAATACTAATATAACAATTATTCACGTGCATTTTCTATGAGCGCTTTGTATCCTATGGAAAAGACAACATTTTGGCCATAATTATATTCTTTATTCTTTATTTCATGATACATCCAACAGCCAAAGGCCAATGGATATCTTATATAAAATGAATATGTTAAAATACGTTACTATAAAAGAAACATTAAAACATCAATAAAATATACAAATAAGAAACTATGTAAATTCTACATTAAAGATTTTACCTTTAAATATTGATAAACTGAGGTGAAATACATCAATCGTGGTGTCTGAGAAATATTACATTTTCTAGGTGTTTTTGTGTACCTCTAATTCAGGAACTGCAAATTGGAGCACACGACAATCCACCGAGCTTTACCTTCACTCAAACTGATGGTGAACTGATGAAATCTTTATGAAGAGAAATAAGTTCCTGCACAGTGGCAGCGCCAGAAATTACCCGATGGCTGTCTCTTATAAACAATATATGAGAAATCAGCCTTCAAAGTTTATGATTTCAGGCATTTCTCATGCAGAAACTATCATCAAATCCTTAAAAAGTGTTGTTTTAACATTGAAAATGGGGAAAATAACAGCATAGAATGATATATAGATATGTAAAGATTAGTTTAGTGCAATAAAATAGATTTTAAAAAATTTGACATTCCAGCATGTTTTGGCCATTTTCTCTGAAACACGATTTGCGACGAGTGACTGGTTTGGCTTGTCTTTGCCACATTTGGTTCTTCTTTCATGTAAGGTTTCCCAGCCCAGGTCATTGAGTATTTTTGTGATGCTTGAATCCCAGTTGTGATCTCTAGCTATAAATCTCTCTGCTCTGTTTTGGACTCTCTCTAGTTTTTTCTTGTTAGCCTCATGCTGGAGATCCCAGAAAGCAGAACAGTACCCCAACCGGGGACGTGGGACGCACCAGAGATTTTTAGGCAAAAGATTTTGTATTTCTATTGCTGGTGACCCATGAATATTGATGAGGGAGACAGAAAAATGGAGAATGTCTGGCAGGGTATTCATGCCAAGGGTGATTCCAATCTTCAGGTGATGTGGGGTTAAAAAGAGTTTGCATATAATGCATCGTCCTTGTCTGAAGAATGTATAATTGTTGCTTGTATACTCATCCGAGTATCCATTTTTGGTGCAGTGTAGTCTAGCAAGTATAATCTCAGGCCACCAAGAATTTTGTGAATTATCAGAGTTGATGCCCATTTCACATTCCTAAGTGTGGCAGTAGCAGTGTGACTCTGGACATTTTTGAGGTGTTGAATGTTACAAAAAAGTCTAGGCTTTGTTGACTGAATAGCAGTGCACCACTTTTTTTTCCTAGGCCTAGCCTAGTAATGCATTGTAAAATGAGTGTTAATATTGTTTGCTAAATTTGATAGAAACAAAATACAATATGATTAAAGTATTATTGCTTGTATCATAAATTCCTTGTTTCCATTTTTTATAATATAGAAAAATGCCAGAGAGGGAAGATGATCATCTGACTCCTGCAACTCGCTTACTTGAGAAAAGGCGAGAAATGTCAGAGGTCGAACAGGCTTTAGCTGCACAGAAAGAGGCAAGTTTGAAAAAAATCTATAAATAGAGAGTAGCTATTGTTATACAAGTCTTAATGCTGATGATGTTATTTTATATATGGATTGAGTTAGGACAATAACATCTAATTCAGATTTAGGAAATTTGTTTAAGACTGGTGTAAAAATAGCCACTGCCAAAAAATATCCATTAATTTAAGTGACCTGAATATGCTGATTTCTAATAATACATAATTGTTTTTTTAATGTGTGTACGCATATTTGTCTAGGTATGAGTTTTATATAATAAATATAGTATTTGTGAAATTTAAGCATAATTTATTATGAATATGCAGGAGTTCCAGATGAAGATGGAGAGTTTGCAGCAGCGAAGGGAGGAGCTAGAAAGGAAGGAGTACCAGTTAAAGGAATCATTACTCAAGTTTGATAAATTCCTCAAAGTAAGTATTCAGCAAAAACAATTAATTCTATACTTTAATGATGGGTAAATATATCCAAGATGTACCAATAACATACCAAAATTTTTTATTCATTATTTTTTTTGACATTTATTTCTGAATTTTTTGGCCGAAACCAGGTCTTCGCTCACTTCACGAAACTAACACTATGAAAGCAGATTGTGCTGTTGCCAATACAGACTTTTTGTGTAGTAGAACACAAAATTGACAACCAATACATGCTTATTTTAACACGGTTTTTTTGGTTTTTTTTGCAAACTGACACAATTTACTTTCATTGTGTTTGTGATGAGTGCGATGAAGTGTTTGCCTGCAAGCATGATGCTTGTTTCAGACATCTGATCAAACAAATTGTGTTTTTGATGATTTCTTATGTCCATTGTAAAGCCAGACACATCAGATCTCTTTTAATCCACTCAGACTGCCACAGACAGTCAGCAGATAGATAAAAAGCACATAAAACCCTTTATACGTGGTTATAATTTCTTAAATTCTAATCTTATCTTGTCAGGAAAATGATTCCAAGAGAGCAAGAGCAGTAAAGAAAGCCCTGGATGAAAAGGACCTTAAGAAAACTAAAGACAAAGAAATCGTGAGGCTTTTAGAGGAGAAAAAAGAGCTAGAGAAACAGCGAGATAAATTCCTGAAGAAACTGGACAAAAGAAGGGTGTTTAATACATTCCTGGATCGCGTTTTAGAATCTGCAGAGGAATTTCAAGAATCCAGGGACGTGATAGCCAGATATGAAACATTAGTAGCAACACATAAAGTAGGTTCTATATATTGAGTAATTATCTTAAATGTTACACTACAGATTTTGTTTCATGTATTGTGCATTTAAGGCTTAATTTACAAAGTGATATCATTTGCCTAGTAGAGCTTTTTAATGATATGTCAGGTTTAATAGGTTTGACATTTTTTCAATGTTACACGACCTATGGTACTTGATTCAGCATTGTAAATGATGTATTTTACACATGAAATGTAGTTCTCCAGTTGTGGTGCCTTGGGTATATGCTTTTGTATTGGGAGGAGGTGTTGGCTTATGCTTATGGAATTCCCTTTTTACCAATAAAAACTGAAAGAATGTTCTATAGTTTGTGTGGATGGTCAATCAAAATTTTATGTGGCATCATACAGTACTGGTGATGTGTCCATATGGGTTACATATGACATAATCATACTGCTCGGTACCCCTCCCTCTTTTTGAAATCCTATTTACATCACTCGAACTCCAAGTTATTGTATATTTCATATTTATAATAAATTATGTTGCTTATGTCAGTACAGCTGTAAAAGTATTGTTTTGGTTTTTAAAAAAAATTACCAACTGATTTTTCCACCTGTTAGGATTTAATGGACAAAGCAAGTAGATCTCAAGACTCAGTAGATGGTCATAGGGCTGAGCTGATGAAGTTTACAGAAGAGAAAAACAACGAGATTCTAAGCTACAATAACCAGCTGGCCACACTGCAGACTCGCCTAGACACAGCCCAAGGAGAAGCAGTCAAATGGTAGGTAGGAATCCTTGCTTGACTGTTCTACTGAACTCTAGAGGGAGACAAAACACAATATTTAATTCAATTATGTACTCTCTGAATTTTCACTTGCTTCATAATAATAATAATTATTATTATTTTAAATGACAATTACATTTAACTGTTAAAATATATTTTCAATTAAATATATAAGAAATTGTTTTTGACTTTTTAAATTTTAACGGAATCAATCAAATTATATTTTCTAGGAATCTATTACTCATTACATTTATAAAAAAAATGAACATGGAGAATAAAATACCTGTATTTCAGTCCTACTTTCGTAAATGATGCAGTGTATTTTCTTCTTCACTTACTGACATGTTTTATAGATTAGCTCTAACTTTAAATGGCTGCTTATAAATGTTTTATTATGGCAGAGACGTAACCTGTCTCTTACCTGCAGGGTGTATTAGTAAGAAGTGTCTCTGGCAACAAGGTCTAAGGCAGTGCTTATAACATAAACACAGGAATTGAACAGACACATACGATATATTGATAATATGTATGCTGTCTCTTATACACATCTAGATGTGTATAAGAGACAGCACTCATACAAAGACATTATCTACAAAGACTTCATTTAGAAAAATAATGACATGCTAACGACTTCCCATAACATTCAACAATATACATCACCACCGTTCCCCACTCATCCGACACGGTGCGGAGCACAGGTATATAGGTTTAGTGAGTAATAAAACAATGGAATATATAATATATGTAATATATTTACACAAAGAATTATTATTTTTGCATCTTTTAATTGGTGAGGAAAAAGTTACTTTTTTAAAATATTTTCAATAAAAAGGCTTAATAACTTTTAACAGTATTTAAATTGCTTACCTGATAAAAGCATGGAGAAAAATTATGTAGCTATCAAACAGTGTTTCAAAAAGTGATTTTATAGTTTCAGTGTGTTGCCTCAACAAAATAGCAATGTGTTTAATTTGCCACAACAAAAATTTTCCATTAAAAGTTTTAATAGAATTCCATAAATCTTCAAATTCAATTCTTGTTTAATTTTTCGCTTGGAGTTGTAGTCATCTGTTGTTAGACCTGTTATTTTTTTCTCGTAAAATTAATATTGCTAACTGTGTCTGTTTTTTAATGTGGAACTTTTTATATATTTATATTTATTTTTTATTAATATTAATATTGTAAGTAATATAATTGATTGTATTTAGTAAATTTTGTATAGCTATGGTAAATGAGTTGTTGTTTTTTAATTTAATTTTTTTGTGATTGAGAGATTATTTTAATGTGCATCATTTTTTTAATCATTTCATTGAAATACAAACAGTTTTAGACTTGTGCTATCGATTTTGTAAATTTTATACCGTAATAAATAAAAAAAATAAAAAAAATAACTTGAATATAGCACACAAAGCAATTAAAATATTTTATGTTATTGTTCAAGTTTAATAGTTCATCACAGGTTTTAAATGGTGATGGAAATATTTTCCTGTTAACATCCAAACCTAAGCAATAGAAATTTTATTGCTTTAAGTCTATTAGTTCATCACACTCAGTATATTTCTTTAATGTGATATTTTATTGTCATGCTTTTTTTTTTTTTTAAAGGGAATCGGTTTGGACTCATATAAAGAACACAGCAGCAAAGAAAACATTACTGCTCGGCAGAATCAAAATGTAAGCTACTGATTTCCTCAGTGATGTCTCCCTCCAATTAAAGACCACTTCCGGGGACCGGGTTTCCAGAGTCTTTGTTCTCTAACTAGACTAGAACAAGAGAAGACATTAATGAATTTAGGATCACAGACATGTGGTCTTTAATTGGAGGTAGTCTTTAATTGCAGGATTTAATTAGACAGAGACCTGTGAATGTACAGTATGTATATAAATGGATACAGTATGTGTATATCGACATACTGTATTATGTGCTGTGTATGTATGTTGTATACTGTGTTAGCGAGAGTCCAATTATATAAATTTTGAAACACTAAACCTGAGGCTACACACTTATGAAGAATAGAAAGGCAGCGTATCAGAGACTAGCAAGTAAAATTAGGTTGAATAGTAAACAGGAGTGCTCATATTCATTGCATTCTTGTCCCCTCTGGTAATTTCCGTATTTTGAGTAATTTATGTTTTGAAATCTGCTGCATTTACAAGCCGAATCCCAGTCCCAAGGCTGTTATTTATCAATGTGTTGAATCATATAGTGACCTTTTCGTGACACAGCCATACTTTTGTGAAAATTTGTATTCTATTCGTCTGTTTATGTAATGGACAGAATAATATAACTTGTCCATCTCTATATAGATAAAGAATACTGCTAATTTACTGATACTTCTCTCACACCCTTTCACTAATAATATGTGGCGTACTGAACTGCTACAACAACAGCAACTATTAATACTATGCTGCTATTGCTTCAAGGAGAGCTGCCCCCCCCCCCTTTTTGGGGAGAAAAACCAAAACTTGTCAGGTAGAAGAAAAATTTATATGTATTTTCTACAAGTAGACTCAAATCAACTAAATAAGATTTTATAACCACTAAATTGTCACATTTTTCGGGCTGAACAACTTTCAAAACATTTTGAGCAATGTCCGACCATGCATACTTGCTCTTGTTGGGGATATCCGACCCCCATTGGGAAAATCCTGGGGCCCCTGGTACTTACTACTACTTCTACGGCTGATAATGCTGCTGATACTGCTGTCTGAATGTTGTTTAGTAATTATGTTTTAAAAGGTATATAGATTATGTTTTGTCTTGTTTTTTTTTCAAACAGTATTATTTCATCTGATTTAAATAAAATCTGCATGTAATAAAAGTGCGTTAGAGGCTGCAAGTCAATTCTCTCAATTCTGCAGTAAATGCAATTTGAGAAGAATGACAGTTTAATGCTATCTTCATTTTAGTTAGCTTTGTTAAGTGGTTTAAAGCAAGCTGTTTATTATCCTCCAGGGCAACGCACAACCTTTTCCAACTTGTTAATAGACATCAGAAGCAATCAGGCTCCACAGACCTGACGGAGGAGCAGCTAAGTAAGGTATGTGCAGCATTTTATAGGTTACATTAGGTGTTCACATCAAATTTAATGTCTTCTTGTCCTTCAACTGTAACTTTTTCTATCACTTGCTACCCATAACAGGGTGGCATGTAAATATGCATTAATAGGTTTTAAATTTTAAGTGCACCAGTATGTGCATGTTTTTGTTCTGCACTTTTTCATTTTCATTATTTTTTTTTTTTTCATATTTTTAAATTATTTTATTTTATTTTTATTTTTTTATTTTATCCATTATATGTGTTGGTAATACTTTGTAAAGAAAAGGTATCAAGAAAAAACTACTGGAAGATGAAATAGTGGGAACTCGGGAATGGTTAATGAGATACAGATTTTTGAATATTTAAGAACTGGGAGGGGGAGGGGCGTAACCACCCTTCCTTCTGCCTTTTCCCCCAGGTTTTAAATATTCAAAAATCTGTATCTCATTAACCGTTCCCAAGTTTTTCATCAAATATGCTTTTTGCCTCTTAGAAAAATCAGCTGTACAACATTACATATGAACAATTTTTTTTCCTTTGGATTCTGACTGAAGTTTTTTTTGACTCCATGAATCTTGAAAAATTCTCCATAAAAAATCATAAGCAAATTTTAAAAAGACATAAGTGGTATAGTAAAAAAAAAACCCATATAATTCTTCCGCTGTTATTCTAAGAAAATATGTTATGGATTTCTCTGTCATGCCTGGAATAGCATGTTTTGTTTCGTTCGTTGGTGGTGGATCAACAAAGGTTTATTCAATAAACAAGTCTTAATATATAATAATATACATTATTCCTCTTCTTTAGCTTGTTTCAGATTCCATTACTAATGGTATTTTAAAAGATAATAAAACAACCCTTCACTTAAATCATATGTATTCACTCATTTCATGCTGTTACAAGCATAACAACTTCATCCTTGTACTTAAGAAGCTGATGGGCATTAAAAAATAACGCGATTCATATTTTTCAAAACGTTGTGATGTGATTCTATATTCTTTACGACTATATATCTATGTCGTAAGCCAAGGTGTACATACTTTTTATTTATTTTTATTCTTTTATATACGTAATTCTGCCTCATTGAATTTTTTGTAAAAGCGAAATAAATAATATGATATATGATATTTATGCGATATGATATTTGATTTTTTTAAATTACAGATTCAAACCTTTATAATGGACTTAACGCAGATCACCACAGAAATAAAACGAGCAGAAGCTGTTGGCACATCTGTCGGGGCCACATCGTCTTAGATGTACCACTCCCTCCTAGTCTCATTTTAAGATTCACTCATAGTATTATAGCTCCCCTCGCATTAAACATTTTACATATGATGTGGTTTAATAGTATTTTTGTCAATTTTGCCACAATTTCGGAGATTTATTTTGTACAGTTCACCTGATTGTAAATATATTTCAATCATATCATATCTTGTTGAAAAAATAAAATAATTATTATTGTTATCATGATGATGTCATTACTCTGTTGATAAGATAGGACTGGTAATAGTGTATCAGTGAGACAGTAAATACCTGTGGCCATATATTTAAAAAAATAATTTCTGTGCAACAACATATTAATACAGCTTAAAATGTATGTGGTGCTCCTTTACTAATTAATCAATCAACCAATCAGTGAAATAATCACTCAATCAATCAATCAATCAACAAACCCTCATTCAATCAATCAATCAAACAACCAATCAATAAATCAATTAAATAATCAATCGATCAATCAATCACACAATCATTCAATCAAGTAATCAATCAATCAAATAATCAATTATTCAATCATTCCAACATTTATATAAAAGCTTTCTAGTAAATAACGCTTTCCCATTAAAAAGTTTTAAAATACTCGAAAGCCTTAACGATAATGCAACTGTCTTAAAAGAAATGAACAGACTATATTTAATTCAATGCACCAAATCTCACTACCTTTGGTTGGCATAATAACGATATGCATAGAGTTTAGTTCGAACATTATAATGATGTGTAAGGGTGTCACATTTTCTCCCGCTCGTATAACACGTCCTAATGACAATCATGAATCACTCACCACTGTGTATCGATTCTCTGAGTAGTTAACCAAGTTTCATTTACTTACATTGATTCATTCGTAAATTAATCCAAACATTATTATAATAATTAATTAACCTTTTCAACTATTTTTACGTCTTGGATATTTGAAGAAACTATTGCAGCGTTGATGATGTCACAGATTTACATCAAATTTTCGTCGTCTTGATCTCTCCATTCTAATTTGTCCAATTGACTGAAAACTGAAAAGAGCTAGCATCGCATACTCTCCTTCAACATTTCATAATCAGTATCGATTCGACAACATTAAAGTACGTGCTCGTAGGCTTTTAAATGATAGCAAGGGATAAACTAATGGATCGTTATTGAATGTAGCTGCAGTTGACTTATTGAGCAGATTAGTCGAGATTATGAGTGAATTTACCGAATAGATCATCCTAGATTAAGTGGTAAACACTTTGGAACTATAAATAAACGTACATATAGTCGGTATGTAATACTCAGAAGCGAAGTAGTAATTGTGTGGCAGGCGACAACATGAGGGGTTGTGGTTTAGGGGTCGCATTTAATTCATTTTCATGTGTTCGCTACTACTCGAGTAGATTGCTACAACGAACATTAAGATGCATAATGATTTATTTCCCTTAAGCCAACTTGCATATAGTTAATTTAATATTGTAATAGGCAAAACGTGAAGGGACACAACAACGGTAATAACTATTCGGAAATACGAGGGCTATGTCTATCCATGTTGTATATTAATCACATGAGCCATTTGTAAGACATCTCTTAAGAGGATAGACGGACTCGGTTTGCGCAGACTCAAATTGATTATAACTTTAATCAGTCAATCACGTCCACTCAATCACAATATAGTTACTTCCTTTAAAATATATAACGTATGTCATTATTTTACGTTGAGTACTATAAAAAATAACAAAAGCAGACTCGATTTCTAATGAGTATTTTACCTACTTTATGACTGACGTGTCTCTTTGTAGCATCGTAACGTTTTCACCACGTAAACTCACCTGGTTTTACTGAATGCATTGCAGGACGTGTATTAGTATTACATGTCTCCCTCCAAATAAAGACCACTTTTGGAACCAATGTTTAATAGTCTTTAGCAGCTTTGGTCTATAAATAGAATCCCTCTAATTAAGACCGGTACTAAAGGTGGTCATTAAATATAGAGGGAAATTAAGAAGTGATATATAGTAAATGAAAGATTGTGTTATGCCATGCGTTTTAGAATGGATAGGCCTACAGTAATTATTGTATGCTGTTATTGATATATAAACTATTTCTCGGTCACACACAAGTCCTGTGCGCTCGTTATGCCCAAACCCTGTATATATATGCCTATGTATATATATATAAATATAAATCATCAAAGAAAGGTAAATGCATTGTTCGAATGAAGGACATAAATACATCGTGTAGCATAGCTCACAACGAATGTAAAGAAATTGTGTAATAAATGCTTCTAACGGGATCCGAACCTGCGACCTCTCGTTGTGAATGCGTAATATTTAGCTTGATTTATATTATTGTGCTATTTGTTTCCAGCGACAATTGATAATCCAGTAGTAAAAACTTGTGAAACACATGTTAATTCTCCATCCCAGGACACTCCGGGGAGACTTGGCACCCCTGGCACTAAATGTGGTCTTTCTAAAGGAAAATTAAGAAATAATAGTTTTCCAAAAGATTTCCGCTTAGTCACGGAAGTGCGAAAGATAGGCATTGCAACTGTGGCCGCATAAAAGTGGTCTTTAATTGGAGGGGTCTTTAATTGGAGGCAGATCTTTATTCGTTACTACTTTGGAGCCTTCTCATATACTAACACCAATAATCTCGAGTGTTGTCTTAACAATAGCATGTCTATCGTGGTTATTTTTAGAAATGCGTTTACATTTAGAGACTGCATGATCAGTTGTTTGCTCAACGTAACGCTAGTACGCATTTCAAAGTGTTTTTTAAAGCGGTGTTCGACCTGTGTGTATTTCATGTTGGCTTATATTAAATAGTCTACCCCACACTTCTTGTCGAAAATATGTTCATCACCGCCATCGTTCGATTGGCTCCATTAAGTGTGTAAAGCCTTGTTTCCAAAAAGCCGCTACACGCTATCACTGACAGTTTTTGGCGACGCTGATTGGTCGATTTATTGATTCGGGACAGCTAAGTAGTGTAACGATTCAAATTGAAAACACTAGCGACAGTTTAGAAATTTTATGGAAACTAGAAACCATTTTGTACGCGCTCTTCGTAAGAAATGCTGAATATAATATCGAAAGTAAACCAGGCTTGTGCTTCCATAGCACTGACATTAACCCATAAAAGTATCGGTTGATTATCCATATAAGACACGGGTAATTAACAGATATTTAGCTGTTAATTCAGGTGAGATCCTTCCTGTTCTCAAATCTATTCTCAGTTACAGTTTTAAGGCCTGTTTATACTTCAACGATACCGATAAAAAAGCTAAAAAGCGATTGTTTATATAGAAAACAAAAGAAATAAGAGAAGTTTTTACACTAGGACGATTCGATAACGATTTATCGTGTATACGATAACAAAATATTTTTTAAAATCAAATTAGATGACTTCATAATCATGGAAAAACGATAAAATCGTTGCTCTACTACGATTTTAATGTTTTTCCATGATTATGACGTCATCTGATTTGATTTGTCAATATGTTGTTATCGCATAACTGATAAATCGTTATCGAATCGTTCTAGTGTAAAAACTCTTTTATTTTCTATATGAACAATTGCTTTTTTAGCTTTTTTATCGTTATCGTTGAATTAAACAGGCCTTTGCAGTGTTATTCTACTACTCCAGGAATTTTGACTCTTGTTATACTACTTAATGCATTGCGGATGCTGCTAGAGAAAACCAAATTGGCACAATGCTGAAGAAATGCTTGTTTCATGTGGTTTGCAACGTTCATGAATGTAAGATAATTAAAGTTCATCACATTAGATTATTCTGATAACAATCTTGTATTTTTCCCCCTTAAATTGAATAGTCTTAGTCAAATAGCATTTCCCACATAGAGCTATTTCGAACTGTTATGTGGAAATCACTATAGTCACAAAATATAATGTAGGCCTATGTTTGATTGATTGGAAACCGCGTTGTAATAGTTGATATCCGTGATAATGAATTGTTGCAGGCGATTTGGTCATGCCAGGGCATGCATATTTGTAAACTGTCTTTGGGTTTGTATTGAACGAATCAATTAATCAGCCAATCAATCAATCAGTCAGTCAATCGAACAACTATCTATCAACCAAATGTATTTTCTTGATAGTAAAAATAGATGTGATTGATGAATAGGAGATGCGAATTCAAATGTGTATGGCCACCCAAAAGAATAAAAAAATATAAAAGTAGGCCTATATCATATTTTTTTTATAAAAAAAATAAGGGGAAAAATTACAATTATAGAACAAATTTAAAGAAAAGCACTTCTGGGTTACAAGTGATGTTGGTTCTATTAAACACCGCATTTACAGTGTACAAGCTTATGTATTATTATTTTGTTATTCGAAAACATGTTACGCAAACATAATCATTATAAAGTTGAGCGACATCAGATTCTTGTAAATAATGATAAGGCGAGGGAATAACCTAAAGATGACGGGAGCAAATAGTATTAGGCCTAATTGAAGTTATGGAGCCTAATGTTGGAGATGCGATGTACTGTCAGGCGTGCGCATAAACACGTTTATCTTGTAATTTATGATAACCAAGCAATACTGATTTGCCAATGTCGCGTAGTCACAGTAAACATTCGCTTATGTGCTATCCATGTATCATTTCCAACGTAAGAGTAGCCAAATTTAGCAAAAATTTAATTAATAAGTAAATTATAATCATCAATCTAATAATTGAAAAAAACGAACTTTATGTAGGCCTGACTTCTGGCTCCAAGGTTGTCACGCAAACGCATGTGCTTGTATATAGGCCTATTCTTCGAACCGTATCATGAAATAAACATTTATTAAAACAGAACTGCAAAATGCATTATTTATTTATTTTATTTTATTTCGGTATATCATCAACATGCAAATGGCAGCCATGGGCTGAAATGATTGCATTTACCAAAAAAATCAAACTATGATAAATATATACAAGATTTTCTAAAAATTATAAAATTAAGATTTATAGAACCAGAGTGTAAAAAATATAATCATAATAATAATGTAGTTACCGATTATTGAATCAATGATTTAATAAAGAACCTTCATTTGAGAAATATTAGGACCCAAAACAGAAACAAATGGCACGAAATAGTCAAACGACAGCGCAGCGTACTAATGATATCGATTAGTTGAAGCATGCGTAGATGAAATTGATAGGGTGTGTCTATCAGAGGCGGATCAAGAGGCGTCCAAAAGTGGTAGGGAGGGGGGAGGG